TAATATTTGCAAAATAGTTTTGCTCTTTAAGTGAGCAATTGTTCAAGTTAAACTGACTAAAAATACGTTGTTTGTGTGTATGTATATACTTGCACATTCATTTTTTTTTTTTTTGGCTCAGTCCCTTTAATAATCTGGAGTTGCCAAAGTGGAAAGAATCGCCAACTTATCCAGCACATGTTTTACGTAAAAGATGCCCTTCCAGCTGCAACCCATCTCTGGGAAACATCCATACACACTCAATCACACTCATACACTACAGACAATTTAGCCTACCCAATTCACCTGTACCGCATCTTTGGACTTGTGGGGGAAACCAGAGCACCCGGAGAAAACCCACGCAAACGCAGGGAGAACATGTAAACTCCACATAGTAACACCAACTGACCCAGCCGAGGCTCGAACCAGCGACTTTCTTGCTGTGATGCGACAGCACTACCTACTGTGCCACTGTGTCGCCATACATGCACATATATTGAAAAAAAAATACATTGCAATATTTTATTTTTCTGTTGCAATATGAAGTATAATTTTACCAGATGAAATAAATGGCTCAATATGGTAAGAATTCATCATTTTAGATTGACTGGGATGCTTTTGTGAGTGCATCTGCATAAAATATAATATACCAATCACAAGCGTTGATAAATACAGTACAGCAAAGATATAAATTAAATAAACAGTATTTTACAGATTTCTGGAGGTCTAGCAGTATTCAGGTGCAAATTGTATAATCAAATGTAAAATGACCTATTACAGTCTTCATTGTATTTATAGATAAAATACAATTACAGTATTCTTAAAGTTACAAACATTACGATTTCGTGTGCCTGAATGCTCAACATTGCATATTTGCTGACTATTGCGGTTTCATACATTGTGATATCAATATTGTGCAAGCCAAATAAATATACAGTTGAAGTCAGAATTATTAGCCCCCTGTTTATTTTTTCTCGAATTTCTGTTTAACGGAGAGCAGATTTTTTTTAAACACATTTTTAAACATAATAGTTTTAATAACTCATTTCTAATAAATTATTTATTTTATCTTTGCCATGATGACAGTAAATAATATTTGACTAGATATTATTCAAGACGCTTCTATACAGCTTAAAGTGACATTTAAAGGCTTCACTAGGTTAATTAAGTTAACTAGGCAGGTTAGGGTAATTAGGCAAGTTATTGTGTAAGGATGGTTTATGTATATGTATATGATATGTGATATATATATAACCTTGCATTAGAGTTAAATCTACAGAAACCTAGGTGATTTCATGATTTCGGGGTTTAGACAGGCAGGGGCAGTTTTAGTGATTTTGGGCCATACGCAATTTCTGCCATAGGGCCCAAGTCCTGAAATGCACCTTCATATTTTATTCAATATTTATTTATATTGCTTATATATTCTTTTCAACATTTTAAATTAATGGAATTTTTACATTTTAAATTATTAGTTTTTTTTTAAATGACTTTACAGCTAAAATATATATATTTTTTAAATTTATAAATTTGACTGCTGGACTTCTCCATGATGGACGTTTTATTTTGTGATATTATTATTATTACATAACATTACATTATTCATTCATTCATTCATTCATTTTCAGCTTGCTCCCATTAATCCGAGGTCGCCACAGCGGAATGGACCGCCAACTTATCCAGCACGTGTTTTTACGCAGTGGATGCCCTTCCAATTGCAACCCATCTCTGGGAAACATCCATAGACACTCATTCACTATGGACAGTTTAGCTTATCCAATTCACCTATAACGCATGTCTTTGGACTGTGAGGGAAACCGGAATACCTGGAGAAAAAATCCATGCGAACGCAGGGAGAACATACAAACTCCACACAGAAATGCCAACTGGCCCAGCCGAGGCTCGAACCAGCGAACTTCTTGCTGTGTGGCAACAGCACTACCTACTGCGCCACTGCATCGCCCTACATTATTATAAAATTATATTTGATTGTATATTAAATAAAATAAAATAATGTTAAAATTGTATTTGTTTACCTCTCACCATACAAAATATGGCAGAAAATGATGTTACACATAGTTTATAGTTATAATTTGTACTTCTATATATTAATTGGAGGCTCCAGATTTCCTAGGGGCCCTAAGCAGCCGCTTACCTCACTTATTGATTAATTCTGCCCCTGAGACCTGTGGTGCCCAAACCTTTTCATATATACGGCCAAAAACCAAATATCATTGGGTAATTTGATTATATTTTGTAATTTGGTCATATTTTTCATAATATTTCAAAATAAATAGAAAATAATACTTAAAATCATATTAAGCAATTCAGTATAACTTTTTAAATTATAACTTATTGCTATAAAAACATTGTCTGCTATCCATCGGGTTGACCGTATGTACATTTAAGCTATATCTGCTTAAGTTGCACTATTTAAGTGAAGTGAAGCGTAATTTCAGTTCACAGTTTGAACAATGAAACAAACAAACAAAAGGTTACATAACATTTGAAATTATCTCTAAACCAACTCCATCATTCTCCTTCCCTCAGGCACTAGTTTGGGCATCTCTGGTTTAGACATTACCAATTTGTTTGATTATAACTATATAATAGTAATTGAGGAGCAGCTTTAAAGGACGTGTTATGAATTCTACTGTATGAGGAGAGGAAGAGGAGAGAAGTCTAATGGGAAGCTAAAACAGGAATGTTTTGTATGTCACTGAGTGTGCAACTTGCATCAAGTCTGACACATGTACTTTTTTCAAACACTTGGTAACAGCTTATATTGCAAAATATTGTGTTGATAAATGTTTATATTGCATTTTCTGCAAAGTTCAGCATTCTGTGTGCAACAAAAATAGATCTTTTCACTCATGACGTCAATTTGTAGGCCAAGTCAAAACGCTAACTCAGCATGGATGCCCTTAGGAATTTATACTAGGAGTTTAGTATATTTTTGTTTTGTTTGCGTGCTGTGCCCAATTCATGAGTAAAAAAGTGACATTGCAGGTTTTTCAACAGCATACACACATCAATATAAATTGTTGCATTTTATAATATAAAAAGTATGCATTTTTCCAAAGGTTTTATGATCAAAGAGGATATATTTCTCCTAAAAGAAATAATTGATTCTGAAATCTGAAAGGAGTCACCATAAATTTGCTTTCTGCACAAACTATGCCGATGAACTTGCTGAGAAAAAAAATGTGTTGTATCTCAGCCCACGAGCTGCACTTTATATTTATTGCAAGTTTTTGCAAATCAGCACCAGACATTCGGTGCCCATGTGAACGTATAACTATATAAAATCAGCAATTAATAGTCTGTAATTCACATACAAAAGGGGAATTCAACAGCACTGATTGAGACAGACTGCAGTCACCTGACCAATCAGAGCAGAGTAGACACTCCAAAAGGAGGGGCCTAAAGAGACTGGATTCTTGAACAAACTGTTTCAGACACTGTGAGAAAACAGTTGATGACAACATCTCAGAACAATTTTGTTTAACTTTTTTTAATTTAGTGACTTAATTGAATGAATTTGTTTGGTCTCATTTGTCTGTTTTCCACCCCAGTGACAATTATGTTTTAAAATGTGACATTTTTATGATTGACATAGTATAAATGTGTGTTAATAACCAATTCACCAATGTGTAAAACCTTGCATAATTTCTCATGAGATCAGGTTATTGATGCTGCATTGTGAATTATGAAAAGTTAATAATAATTTTTACCTTGGATGCATGTAAACCTATTTAAGGAGATGTCCAAAGCAAAATTCGGAACCCTTTAAAAAACATTTAATTTATATATACATATATATATATATATATATATATATATATATATATATATATATATATATATATATATATATATATATATATATGTGTGTGTAGTCTGCTTGAACTGTAAGTTGCTTCTCACTTTTTAAAATATAATTACATATTTCCAACTGAAAAAGAATATTGCGTAGGGGGTGGGGTTTTGTTGCTGTTTACTTACTGGTAACTAATGATTGGAGGGGCGTGGTTAAGAATATTATTTCATCCAAGCTGTCAATCTGATGTCATCAGAGAAAGACTTCCATTTCAAAGCGGAACCAAATGGTTTTGATTAAAGATAGTAAAAACAATGCATAATACAATCAGACATTTAATGAACGTATATAGTGACCTATTTGATGACTAAATGCAACGTGATATGTTGAGCAGAATAATGTAGATTAGGTGTTTGTTACCAACTGGGAATGTAAGATCAGTTACCCCGTTACATACCACACTGAAATTTAACACTGTATTCTGACCCTCATAAGCCTGCCATAGCTTGCCAGTGCAATACAATACTGTATTCAGTTTACTGAAGATCTAGCAAGCTCCGTCGCTGTCATGTCGCAAGCTGCAGGTGTCTGTTTCTGATGTAAACAAACACAATTACAACCAAAACACAGACAGTTTCCACTGAAGTATAGATGTGAAAGGGATAGTTCACTCAAAAATTACAATTATGTCATTATGCACTTTGTTTTAAAACCTATTTGAGTTTCTTTCTTTTGTTGAATGCAAATGAACATGCTTTGAAGAAAGCTGGAAACCTGTAACCATTGACTTCCATAGAATTTATTTTTTCTATGAAAGTCAGTGGTTACAGATTTTCAGCATTCTTCAAAGCATCTTCATTTTATTTCGTCATAAAAATAACTCATAATGCTTTGGAGGCTGATTTGAGGGTTAAGTGGATAAATTGTATTTTTAAATGAACTATCCCTTTAAATTCAAGCTAAATTCTGATTTCCTTCGAAACATAAAGGCATGGGGAAAAAAGGCCTACATTCTGTCTCTTTATGCAATGGCAGAATTATCTGTGCACTTTATTAGAAGGAACCTCGTTGTGATATCGAGCAGTCATTTACACACAAAGGCAGTGTAAGTAATTCTATCAGCTCCCATTGTCAGCCTTGAGTCCAGTTCTACACGAACCATCTGTCCAGTTCAGATGACAATAACTGTGATATTCAAAACCAGCTCGCGTCAGAGAACCGCCCCGCAGTCCAGATGAGCCGAGCTGATGTGAGCGCCAGGCAGAGATACTGAATAGTTGATGAGACAATAGTTAAGTTTGACAGAGGGGACAGGATGGAAAGTCTGCAACTTATCTCTTTCTCCATTCTGGACCGAGACGGAGAACTGTGATGGAAAATTACTCTGCGTCCGTGCATGTGCGCGCCTGAGAGGAGAAAAGAAATAGAGCGAGCGCGAAGGTGAGGAAGAAAAGTGGATGAAATGGTCAGCATAAAAGAAAGTCCAGAAATAAAGTTGTCAGAGAGGCGCGGTGAGGGATGTTAGGAGAGCTCGGGTGATCTCAGTGCTTACTCAGGGCCTGGAAATGCAGCGTCTCACACCTGAGAATCGCAGGAGCTTCAATTGGAGTGGCTGGAAGACGCTCCTGCTGCCGCAGCTCAACAGACGCTCACTGTTTGTCTACGGCAGTGAGGTGGCGGTGGAGAAGGAGTGTATCAGACAGAAAGAGGGAGGTGTGTTGGTCATCCACCCCTTCAGCCGATTAAGGTACATGCCCTAAGGTTTTTCTTTTTCTTTATTTTAATATACTCTTAATTTGACTAACATTTCAAAAATCCTACTATCATTAAAATTATTTGTTTTTACCTAATTTTAATGAAATTTAGGCTAATTTACCTGTTTTTTTAATCTATGTTTAAAAAAATGTGCCTAAACCTTGTTCTTTTTTTTTTTTTTTTTTTTTTTTTTTGCAGGAGTTACTATATTATGTGCATGGTGGCCATAACATTTCTCAATCTAATTGGGATTCCAATGGAGATTGCCTTTCTGGATGGAAACAGTGGAGTAGGTTGGGAGGGTTTTAACGTGTTCTCAGACACCCTGTTCTTGATTGATGTAGGGGTGAATTTTCGCATGGGAATCATTCCTGAGGACTGTGAGGTAAGGAATATATTTGCTTTTCTGACAAACTGTATGTTTTATTATTAATTATTTAGAAACAGGTAATACACTAAAGTTCAATTTGTTTGTTTTTTCAGCTACTCTTATTTCTTTTCAAACACTATTTTGTTCATCTTCAGAACACAGATTAAGATATTGCAATTAAATCTGAGAAATTTCTGAATTTTCTCAAAAAGTCTTTTAACCCAAAATATACAACCATATATGCTTGATGTGTTATTTAATATATGTTCCAATAAACTTTGAGTTTATTGTTAAATAAATGTTAGGACAAAGCATTCATAAAAGAATGGTATGAAATAGTTTTTATAGCAATTAATGTTTGATGTGTCCTCATAATGAATAAACAAATGGAATACTGTACATTTTAAAAGAATTAGAAAGCTTGGGGTTTTGAACTGTTTAGAAATTATGTCAGCTTTAAATGTGGCAAAACAGTCAAATTGATCATTCTCGTGACATTTTTAAATGATAGAATGGTATGCTCCACCTAAAAAAAGCTACAACAAAAGACTTTCAATATAAATGCTGTAATAACATTCAAATGAAATATTGTCTTAACATTTTTGCAAAATGGTTGACTGGAATGTTTCTCCAATCTTCACACACAAAAGAAAAGCATTCTTAATGTTGAAAAACAAGTGTTACATTCTCATGTTAGAATGGCTGAAGCAATGAAATGTTACTATAAAGTTCATAGATACAAAAAAAATAACCACAGAACATCTCCTTTTTAAATGTTAGAAAAAGATTAAGATTTAACTTTCTCATATCTTTTTCAAAATACTTTTAAAATGATCATCGATATAACATTATATTGTTTAAAAAAAGAATATAAATGTCGGAAAATCAAAAAATTAGTGTTTTAAGTGAAGTTTATGAACAAATTTCGAGAAGATCACGTGCTGATGATTGTTTGCTGCCAGTTCCGCATTATTCAATTTACGATTCACCAATCAGACGATTCCTAAGCCACTATAAATACCAGTTCCAAATAACAGTTACCTTCATTTTGAAGAACCCACCCTTTCACCCCTATTCCTCCCTTCCTAGATAAGTGGCACGGTGCCCCAGTGGTTAGCACTGTTGCCTCACAGCAAGAACTTCACTGGTTCTTCTTATCAAGCCAGCTGATGTTTCTGTGCAAATTTTGCACGTTCTCCCCGTGCTCATGTGGATTTCCCCCGGGTTCCTCAGTTTTCTCCCACCATCCAAATAACATGCACTACTGACTAACTGACTAATCCAAATCATACACATACTCCTAGGAAGTAGTTATCTCTTTAGAGCAATCACTATCTGTTTGTTAGTTACAGCAGGGAAGTTCTCGAGATCTACCTGAGTTCAAACTCCCCTCTCGCCTTTCAAACAGGAGGAAGCCCCGGGCTCGAGGACCTTATGAGCTCAGGGCTCTCTCACAGGACAGCATGCCAAACAAGCTTTTTAATCAATCATCAGCTAAGTGTGAACTCTTGAAATGTTAAAAGAACATAAAGTAACATTCTTCCTAACGATTGGAAAAAAAATGAAATAGGTTTTTATGGAGGCTCAAACATGTTGCAGTGACACACAAAAAATCATTGGTTCTCAGATGTCAAGCAAGCACAAGCTTTTTTGATCAAAATTGAATGCTGTAAATTTGCCTGCTATTTTAATATAGGGCAAAATTAAATAAATTATAAGACAAAAAGAAAAGGAATGACTGAATCTCATAAGTTACCATTAAGACTTGAATTATGCAAATGGATTTTTGAACGTTTGGAAGCAAACGTTTTAAGTGAAAATTTGCAAGGGACAGAAATTTCTTCATTTTTATTAAAAAATATCTGTATTTATATTCCAATGAATGACATAAGGGTGAGTAAATTACATAATTTTCATTTTAGGGTGACGTAACCCTGAAATATCCTATTTCAAAGTAGTAAACTGTTAAGCAAACTCATTAATCTTTGTTTACAAATCTAGCTCATACTTCTCTAATGAACATTTGTTCACACAGAGAGCCATACTGGATTTGAAAAGCATCCGTCACCGGTATTTAAAGAGCTGGTTTATACCTGATTTGGTGGCAGCTTTCCCAGTTGGCTACATACTTCTTATTGCGGTAATGCTACACTGTCCTCATTCTTTCAGCTATTGAAATGAAATGACATCTTCATAGATGGAAAATATGTGTGTTGTGTGCTTGTCAGTACAGGATCTACAATACCACAGTGACTCTCCTTCATCGAAAGCCAGCAAAATGATGCGCATCCTAATGTTTGTGCGAATCATTAGCCTTGTCCGTCTGCTGCGAGTGTCAAGGCTGGTTAGGTTTTTCAACGAGGTTGAGAGAGTAAGTAAATGCTTGAATGCAAAATAGAACTGATTTGAACAACATTAGATTGTTATTAATGCACATGAAAAAAAGAAGTAATCACTCAAAATGCCTTTGCATTTATGTGGATCTATTTTCTATAGGTTTCAAATGCCAACTTGGAGGTGGTGAGGGTATTCCTGAAAATCTTGTCGTTGTTTATGATGATTTTCCTGCTGTGCCACTGGAATGGCTGTATTCAGTATTTCGTGCCTATGCTTGAGGAATTTCCCTCAGACTGCTGGGTCAGAAGAGAGAATCTGATGGTATGTCTGATTCAGCAAATTCACATGTACAGCGTTCCTACGGTTATTAAATTTCACTGAATGTGTGTAAACTAAATGTTTACACACATTCAAAGCAATAGCAATCCTGGTGGGTGAACACTGATCTTCCAGTTGTGTGCTTCTGTAGTGACTGCAAGTGCTGTCAATCTGAGTGACCAATCCAATCAAAGCATGATTTGGCTGTAAAATAGTCTGTGATGGGTTGTTCCAACCCACTTTACCTGAGGCACAATGTCTATTGGTGTCTTTTCAGCTTACACTGGAAAACACAGCACCATAGTTACAGTGCAATTGGATCCTGTTACTTAAGTAAAGAAGCATGTTATACTACTCAGAATTATCTGAAGATCTGTGTGCTGTTATGTTAAATTTAGGCTCATTTAAATTAAAAATGTTTGCTTTGACTAATGCTCGATGAAACTACAAAACAAGGCCCAACAGCTGCATGTGTATTCTGTTCGGATGTATATGTTATTGTTTAGGCTCCTCTTGATTAAGCTTGTATACTACTAGCGATGTGCTTCTCATAACTGAGGCCGATGTGATATGCACCTTGATGCATGGGCAACAAAACAATACGTTATAGAAATATATGAAGCAGCCACCAACATGACACAGTTCATTCCTATACAGATGCAGTGTGATTCAATTTCGATTTTTTTTTAAACAGTGGAATTTGATGCAGCATTATGCAATGGAAAATTATTATTATTATTATTTCTTGAACTGTCAGGCTAAGCTGGGTTTCACTAACACTGACTAATAGAATTGCAATGATACAAATTTGACTTTTATGAATGCATGTTTTTTCACACATATGTCTGCAGTTTCTCTCACGAAATGCCACTAAATCCTGTAGCACATTTTTCTGGATTTAAAAAAATGTATTGTGCTTCCACCAGATGATGCATGGAACAATATACAGTATCTAGAGGCAAGACCAAATTGCTCGTAAACGTCTTTTAATTGTTCTGGTTGATATACTTATATGTACCTGTTACTTATTATGTTTCATTCATTTAAAGCTACTTGAGATCTTTTTTTTTCTCGGTTTATCCACTTGCCTGTACATAGAATTACTTTTCTATAAATGGTTTACTAAAATTTGTTTATTTAACCGGCTATCGCATTTATGACGTGGCAGTAACATTAAGTTATATTAACTTATAATACTTAGAAAATACTTAGCTTGTAATTGAGAGTGTTGTGCTTATATTCTGTGTTCATCTGCTTCTCTTTATGGAAAATATATTGTTAACTGTATATTGTTCTGTACACCAAATTTGGTCTTTATAACGTTTTATTAATCTAATGTAATAAAATATTCAGACTAGTGGCATTACACCACTATACATACCTGTCACTGGACCCATTACTGGTATATGCACCTGCTAATGGACTTGCCAGTATATGTCACTTGATCTGCCACACATCCTGCCACCTAGCATTAGACCTACCACTTAATCTGCCTCTTGACCTGCCACCTACCCCTAAACCCCCTAGACCTGCCACTTTATCTTTTACCTGCCACTAGACCTACAACTTGACCTGCCATTGACCTGAAACTAGACCTGTCACAAGACCTTCCACTTGATCTGCCACTAGACCTGCCACAACACTCACTGACCTGCCATTAGATCTTCTACTTGCTACTACACTTTTTACTTGACCTACCACTAGACCTGCCACTAGACATTCCACTAGACATGCTAGACCTGTAACTAGAAATTCAACTTGACCTGCCACTAGACCAGCTAGATCTGCCACTAGATCTTTTACCTGCCACTAAACCTGCCACTTGACCTGCCACTAGACCTGCCACTAGATCTTCTACCAGCCACTAGACATTCCACTTGACCTTCCAATAGACCCGCTAGACCTTCCACTAGAACTTCCACTTGACCTTCCGCTTTACCTGCCACTAGACCCGCTAGACCTGCCACTAGATATTTTACCTGCCACTAAACCTGCCACTTGACCTGCCACTAGACTCGCTAGACCTGCCACTAGATCTTCTACCAGCCAGTAGACCTTCCACTTGCTCTACCGTCTACCAATTGATCTGCCACTAGACCTACCACTAGATCTTCTTTCAGCCACTAAACCTGCCACTTGACCTGCCACTAGACCTGCCACTAGATCTTCTACCAGCCACTAGACATTCCACTTGACCTTCCAATAGACCCGCTAGACCTTCCACTAGAACTTCCACTTGACCTTCCGCTTTACCTGCCACTAGACCCGCTAGACCTGCCACTAGATATTTTACCTGCCACTAAACCTGCCACTTGACCTGCCACTAGACTCGCTAGACCTGCCACTAGATCTTCTACCAGCCAGTAGACCTTCCACTTGCTCTACCATCTACCAATTGATCTGCCACTAGACCTACCACTAGATCTTCTTTCAGCCACTAGACATTCCACTTGACCTTCCAATAGACCCACTAGACCTTCCACTAGACATTCCTCTTGACCTTCCACTTGAACTGCCACTAGACCCGCTAGACCTGCCACTAGATCTTCTACCTGCCACTAAACCTGCCACTTGACCTGCCACTAAACTCACTAGACCAGCCACTAGATCTTCTACCAGCCACTAGATCTTCCACTTGCCCTACCATCTACCAATTGATCTGCCACTAGACCTGCCACTAGATCTTCTACCAGCCACTAGACATTGCACTTGACCTTCCACTAGACCTGCCACTAGATGTTCTACCTGCCACTAGACCTGCTACTAGACATTCCACTTGACCTGCCACTTGACCTATTAGACCTGCCACTAGATCTTCTACCTGCCACTAGACTGCCACTGCCACTAGACCTGCCACTAGACTAGACTTGTCACTAGACAAGCCACTTAACCTGCCACTAGACCCACTAGACCTGCCACTAGATATTTTACCTGCCACTAAACCTGCCAATAGATCTTCCACTAGGCCTGCCACTATACTTTCCATCAGACCTGCCACTAGAACTGCCACCTGACCTGCCACTAGACCCGCTATACCTGCTACTAGATCTTTTACCTGCCATTAGACCTGCTATACATGCCACTAGACATTCCAATGGAACTGCCACGAGACCCACTAGACCTGCCACTAGATCTTCTACCTGCCAGTAGACCTGTCACTAGACATTCCACTTGACCTGCCACTAGACCAGCTAGACCTGCCACTAGATCTTTTACTTGCCACTAAACTTGCCACTAGATCTGCCACTTGACCTGCCACTAGACCCACTCGACCTGCCACTAGATCTTCTACCAGCCACTAGACCTTCCACTTGACCTTCCACTACACCTTCACTTGGCCTTCCTACTTGACCTGCCACTAGACCTGCCATTATTCCTGCCACAAGATCTTCTACAAGCCCCTAGACCTTCTACTTGACCTGCCATCTACCAATTGATCTGCCACTAGACCTGCCACTAGATCTTGTACCAGCCACTAGACTTTCCACTTGACCTTCCACTAGACATTCCACTTGACCTTCCACTTGAACTGCCACCAGACCCGCTATACCTGCCACTAGATCTTTTACCTGCCACTAGACCCGCTATACCTGCCACTAGATCTTTTACCTGCCACTAGACTTGCCACTAGACATTCCAATTGATCTGCCGCTAGACCCACTAGACCTGCCACTAGATCTTCTACCTGCCAGTAGACCTGGCACTAGATCTTTTACCTGCCACTAAACTTGTCACTAGATCTGTCACTTGACCTTGATTTTCTTTCAGCACCTAGACATTCCACTTGACCTTCCACTAGACCTTCTACTTGACCTGCCACTTGACCTGACACTAGACCTGCCATTAGACCTGCCACTAGATCTTCTACCAGCCTCTAGACCTTCCACTTGACCTTCCACCTACCTAAAGATCTGCCATTAGACCTGCCACTAGACCTTCTACCAGCCACTAGACCTTGCACTTGATCTGCCACCTACCAATTGATCTGCCACTAAGCCTGCCACTAGATCTTCCACTTGACCTGCCACCTACTACTTGGTCTGCCTTTAGACCTGTCATTTGATGTGCCTCTCAACCTTCCACCTGCAACCAGACCTGTTGCTATACTGTTCTACTAGTGTAGCTGTCTCTGGTATAACCAAACATATATTCCCCTGGACTGTCTCTAGCATACATTCTTTTAAAGATACCGTCTCTGCTATATTCACCTGCCACTGGACCCGCTAAACCTGCCACTTGATCCTCTACTTGCAACTAGAACTTCCACTAGACCTGCCACTAGAACTGCCACTTGATCTGCAATTAGACCCGCTATACCATAAATCTGCTATTTGACCTGCCATTAGACTCGCTAGACCTACCACTAGATCTTCCACCAGCCACTAGACCTTCCACTTGACCTGCCACTAGATGTTCTACCAGCCACTAAACCTTCCACTTGACCTGCCACCTACCATATGATCTGCCACTAGACCTGCCACTAGACCTTCTACCAGCCACTAGACCTTGCACTTAACTGCCACCTATACATTTAACCTGCTACTAAGCCTGCCACTAGATCTTCCACTTGACCTGCCACCTACCTCTTGATCTGCCTTTAGACCTTCCAATTGACCCTCCTCTCAACCTTCCACCTGTAACTAAACCTGTCTCTATACTATGCTGCTACTGGAACTGTCTCTGGTATAACCAAAATATATATTCCACTGCACTGTCTCTGGCATACATTCTCTAAAGAAACCTTCTCTGGTATATTCTCCTGCCACTGGACTGATCACTGACATGCAGCTGCAATAGAAATGTTTCTTTTTTTCACATGAACTGTTTTTTTAGCCAGGTTGCAAGATAGACAAATATAGTCATAATGGATTTTAAGGCACACTGCACATGCCACTAGACCTGCCACTGGACCTGTCACTTATATGGACATAACACTAGACCTGCCACTGGACCTGTCACTTATTTTACATACCACTAAACCTGCTATTCAACCTTTCAATCAACCTGTTACTTATATGCACTTGCCACTTGACCTGCCACTTGATCTGACACTAGACCTGCCACTGGTCCTGCCACTAGAACTGCCCCTCAACTTACTACTTGACCTTGAACTCAACCTGCCACTGGACATGTGACTTTCATGCACATACCTCTAGACCCGCACATAAAACTAGACCTGCCACTACCTAATCAGCGACTAACCCTCCACTCAACCTGGCACTGGACCAGCCTCTCAACCTGTTACTCGATCTGTCACTGGACCTGTCACTTATGTGGACATTCCACAAGACCTGCCAATTAACCTGCCACTTGACCTGCCACAGGTGTACGTCTGGACTGGTCACTAAACTTGTCACTAGACTTGCCAATTGACCTGCCCATCACTGATATGGAGTACATAGGGCTACTCATCAAACATGAGTGTATCATATGAAATATTGGTTTATTATCTTTCATGTACATTATTGTCAAACTTCAGATAATTTTAACTATTCTCTGTGAAATAGTGACATACTTTTAATTATTTTCAGGGCACATAGTGATTCCGCACTGATACTATTTTTAAAGTAAAGGTTTAGAAAGGGGTTTTTGTAGCTGTGATATAAAACAACCATTTTGGGTTCCTCAAAACATTTTCCATTATTAAAAAATCATTTGTGGAATAGAGTGAACTTAAAAATTCCAATCAGTATTACAGACAGCCATACTAATATGTGATATTTTAGAGCTGAGGTTGTACTGTATAAAAATAATGCATTAAAATCAACACTTTAAATTGTGTCTTTTGTCAGAATGCCTCAGTGGGAGAGAAGTACTCTTTTGGAGTTTTTCGGGCGCTCTCTCATATGACTGCAATATCATACGGTTCTTCTGAAACACCTACAAGCAAGGAGTATACTTTTTATCAGCCGATTCAGCAATATGTTTTACACTAAAATAACAGAGCAGATTGGATACTTATTTAATGCTTAGTGTTTGTCTGTTTTTAAAGATGATGTTGAGCTGTGGATTGTCATGACCAGCATTATGTCTGGAGCCCTCATGTATACGGTGATGGTAGCAAACACGGCTGCAATGATGACTGATGTGGATTTAACAGCAAGAGCCTACAAGAACAAGGTGCAAAAAAACACTGACACTCTGCTGAAATATCATAATTTTATTTCTCTTTACCTTTCTCTTATCGTCTTTTTTTGTTGCATAGATGAATCACCTGGAAGATTATATGACCTTCATGAAGCTTCCCAAAGCCCTTCGTATGCGTATCAACAACTATTATCAGTCTCGTTATGCAGGGAAATGGTACGATGAGAAAGACGTCTTAAAGTGGGTGTCCTCGTCTCTCAGAGAGGTGCTGCTCACTATTGGAAATATTAGATAGCTGCACAAAAGATTATTTGACACATTTTGTGGATTTAAAATCTGATTCAGTTTTCACATTCCAAAAGAATAATTTTATAACAGTATCATAATTTAATAATTTAATATATAAATGAATGCATAAATAAAGAAATTGTAAACATAAATGTATTTTGAGACTCATTTAAAGCATTTAATTATATGGAAAAATACAGACATAATAGACATTTTAGTATCTCTATTGGGTCACTCCTGAACCAAAATAATTATGATGGTTTTAAATGTTATAAGAGTTAACTTATTAATTGATTGTTTTAAATGTTTGTTTTTAGGAAATTCTGATAACCATGTGTTCGGCCCTTGTGAGGAAAATCCCCATTTTGCGTAACTGTGATATAAACTTCATCAACGGGCTTCTTGTGGAGCTGCAATACGAGGTTTACCAGGAGGGAGACATCATCATCCGAGAGGACACCGCTGGAGAGCGGATGTTCTTCATCGAGCATGGACAGGTCCTAGAGGAGAACGAGTTTTACCAGAGGGAACTGAGCGACGGAGATTACTTCGGAGGTCTGATTTAGTCAAGCCTTTGTATGCTTAGTACTCACAGACAAGTTGTTTTAGAAATGATCTTTCCTTGTCTTTTGCAGACTCATGTCTCCTAAGAAGAGGAAGGCGTTTGGCCACAGTACAAGCTCAGACCACCTGTCAGCTCTTTTCCTTGTCGCTGGACAGTTTTTATAAAGTTTTGGAGGACTATCCAGACATCAAGAGGGACCTGGAGAAATCTCAACAGGAAAAAGACCTTTTGTTATGATGAGAAAGTAAGTTTACTGCTGTCATACATTTGGTTGATCTAACAGTTGATTATCTAAATATTTGAAGCCTGGAGGAGTCTCTCTTGTTCTCTAAGACTGCATTTGATTGACCAAAATGTAGTTTCAAGAAGTACTCGAGACTTTAGTTTTACATAATCCTTCAGAAATCATTATGCTGCTTTCTTCAATAATATGCTTTTCTTAAAATATAAACATTTAGTACAATTATTAAAGTTAAAGACCGCAGTGCTGCTTACGATTGTAGTGGAAATGGGGTTGTATTTTTAAGTTTTATTTGATTAATAGAACATTTTAAATCAACTGAATTTACCTCTGATTAATGTCTTTACTGACTTTACCTCTGATTAATGTTTTACTGTTACATTTGATCAACTAAATGCAGTCTTACTGAATAAAATATATTTTGTTAAAAAACTTTTAAAAATAAAGAACATTTTTATGAGATAGTTTTATTTTATGTGTCTTATTAGACACATTAAGTAATATTTTAAGTACACTGTAATTAACAATTTCCCAGAGATGGATTGCGGCTGGAAGGGTATCCGCTGTGTAAAAACGTGCTGGATAAGTTGGCGGTTCATTCCGCTGTGGCGACCCCGGATAAATAAAGGGACTAAGCCAAAAAGAAAATGAATGAATGAATGTAATTAATAAATTAAGAAAATAAAAACATCAAAAGTTACATGATGCATTTTACTTTACACAACTGTTGTCTTAATAATTGTATTAAGAAATTTTTAGCACTTTCTTGTTCTAAATGACAATTCCAACATATTTGTCAAGGCAACAAAAGATTTCTTGTTCAACAAACATTGGTAGCCATGTATAAGCAGTGTACCTTATAGCACTCATAAAATATGTTAACTATGAGAGTTTTGTTTGTAAAACAACAATCATTTATTCTTCAAAGAAATTCAGAAGGTAGGTTTAAACTTTGTTGAAAATGCTATTCAAAATTTGCTGAACAAACTTGACACACAAATCTTGAAGGGATAGTTTCCCTCACATTTAATTATTGTAGTTTTAAACTTTTATTAATTTCTTTCTTGTGTTGAATACAAAAAAACATATTCTGAAGAATGTTGGGGAGATTACATTCTTATTAGGAACAAAAAATACAACAGAAGCCAATGGCTGTTTTTTCCATCATTCTTAAAAATATCTTGCTTTGTCTTCTTCAAAAGAAAGAAACTCAAACTGTTTTGGAACAAGTGACGATGACAGAAATTGTATTTTTGGGTAAACAATGTCTTAACCCTTTAACATGCACCACTTGAATTTTGTTTTACGCCCACATCTTGGATTAAATAATATACTGACAAAACTCTGATAAATATTTATATAAACCTTTGATAATGATAAAATATGGATAAAAGGTCAACCAGGTGGTTACGATGTCTGTTAAAGGGTTTAGAACAGCTACTATCTACACATGTAAATGATTAGCATCACAACTCAACAAATATCCAATAATGACAAAACAACAATAAAAGTTTATATAAAAAGTAATCTTACAGTAGGCATGGGCCGATATAAGATTCTGATGGTATGATAACTTATCACGCTTTCACGTTATTGTGATTACTGCTCTAAAATATATTCTTTTTAAATGTCTGGGCAAAAAACAAAAACTTCTTTCCCCTTTGAAGACAATCAAATAATTCAAATGAATCATTGACTTCTGCTGTGTTCCATTTGTTTCAAAAACGCAGATTTCTTTACAATTTAAAATAGCATCTTTGTATATATTTTCTGCTGGAGATACTGTTGTACTATAAAACTAAATTCAGCGGTATGCCTTAAAATCGGTTATCGTCCCATGCCTGTCTTACAGTAACCAAATAATTTATGCTGCAATGTATACTGGGAACTTATAAACCACTATGTAATGTTTAGTTTGTGATACTGTGTTTGATGTGTTGTTATTATTATTATTATTATTATTATTATTACTGTTTTGCATAAATATTTTATCTCTATAGATGGCCACTCCTGCTTCACGTGATTTTTCAGACTGAGCTATGCTATGATATCTGGTGAAGAAGGGCATTAACATCACTACCGCCCTACATCAGACAAGCAGATTGGAAAATGGATGGATGAATGAATATGGGCATCAAACAACCCCATTGGAATGGGATTTTAGATGGTTTGGTCTTCCTTGTCCAAGTCTTCCTTCATCTCCTTCTACTGCTGTGATACTTTCTAAGGCCCAAAGGAGGAAGCAACATCACAGTTTAGAGAAGCCTGTCTCAAATTTACTCATGTATTTATGATCTCTGCTTCTTGCTCCTCTAGTTTCTCTAGTAGGATCTTCCTCATTTTGTATTCTTCATTTCCCTGTTTTATTTTATCTGAATGGGTTCTTGTTTTAGATGGACTCATAGTTTAAATATCTTAGAATAAAAAAAATAAATAAAAAAAGAAACAAAGTCAAATGCACAAAATAAAATGAATGACTGTTCCTGTTTGTAAACTTTTAAATATTAGAATGTCCGTTATTTCTTAATTTATTTATGTTTGAGGGAATAAACATTTTGGATGAATCTTTCTAATTAAAAGAGAATAATGAGTGCAGAAAAAACATTTTGTCAGGGCCTGGAAATAACCTACTATATTTTACAAAAAAATAAATAAAAAATATTTATTTGCCGAAAGTTTTATCAAATGGTCCAAAACTAGACAAGCTCTTTTATAAAGGCTGGATGTTTCAAAAAGCCCTGATTTAAAAATACGTAATAAAAAATTTTGTGAATAAGCAAGAAAAGATCATTGCACTATTTTGTTCACTTTTTGTTTGTTTGATTTTGAAAACATTTATTTTTGTGAAGATTGCATTATGTTTTTATTCCTGTCAGTACACAATATGTTCAGCTCTTCTTTATTTTTATTATATATTTTTAGTACCTATTATTATGTATAACTATATTTAGCTGTAAAAGTTTCCCTATAGTCGGAAAAATGTTGAAATGTTACTCCTATACATGGAAATATAGAGATCAAATAGTGTTTCTAAGCTGAAAGATACCAGAACCTTGTCTTTTGTCTGTCAATAACATGTAAATCATGCATTAAAGAAAATAAATCCTTTTTTAAATCATGATCTGGACCCATTTGTGAATTTGTCCACATTAAAATGTTCTAAATACATTTTCCATAGTTGCAGATGTTCAGTACTTAACCTGACCTTTATAATTTCATGAATGGACAGATGGTTTCTTTAATTAATTCAATTCACAAGGAACGGGAAAAGTAAATAAAAAGGAGTCATGTACCGCTCAACAATGAAAAGTCCAGATTTTAGACAAAGCATGAAAGTACTGGGCAGATATCTCGCCATTACTATTGTATTCATGAGAATGTAGGCAGCATAGCCTTTCTGAAATATTAATGTCAATTTTAAAATGAAATGGTTAAAGGAGCCAAGGAGTGAGTTGTTGATCACACAGTAATATATTCTAATAAATCATAGAAATTATCTGTAGAGTTATTTGTAGAGTTATCGGTATTGAAATCAGTTATAGCAATTGATTAACTGAAACCTGTGGGAATTTGTTTGATCTGTGGACCAATGTTGTCTTTAGTAACACAGAGATTCATTAATCACACTTGAAAATGAAATAGGCACTATTATTCAGTCACACTACAACTGTGTGCTCCCTCTGTCTTTTTGAAGGAGTTTCAGCCTTGGTGTTTCCTCACATTGCCACTTTCTAAAACATTCACCACACTCGGTTTTTATGGATTTTATATTGTAGTGACAAACTGTATTTGCACTAACTCTGATGCTCACAGAAATCTTTTGCATTTGAACATAAATTAACTTAACTAACTCAGAAACAATGAAAATGTAGTATGATTTATAAGCTGTTTTTCTGACCAGACAAAATTATTTCAATATTTACTTGCTGTCAAGTTTTCCCCAAACTTTTTGAGTTTTGTTTTCCTGTAAAACAAAATAAGTTAGTTTGAAAAATAATTGAAACCTGTAACCATTAGCCCCTTTCACACATGAAGACCTTTCCAGAAAATTACCAGCAATTTTCCGGAAAGGTCTGTATGTGTGAACGGGTCTTTTTTGAAAATACCAGTAATTTCCCAGAATGCTGCGCTGTGTGAACGCAGAAGGAAGATTGCCGGAAAAAGCGTAAAGAACGCGCTGACGTGAGACATCTCCAGTCAATCAGAAGATTCAGACGCATTCACATCTGCGCTGTTTATAAAGATAAAAGCCTCTGAATATTTTCCAGATACATTTAGCTGCTAGATGTTAGTCAGATATTGTTTATATGTTCCTTCTTAATGCCAACTGTATAAATAATTATCGATAAGATGCTTATGATAAGCCGTTGTTTGTTTACCTTTAAGCTCTGCTTCCTTCAGTTACTTGACGGGTGTGCACGTGAAGCAGCCGGTAAGCACCAGCACACACATATTATTTACATCTCGACACTCGAAAGTGTTTCTCTATACATTTTCATCAAATTTGTTCACAAATAATTAACCATACACAGAGTTTGTAATGTAGTCAAATGTTTACAAATACAAGCACAGCTGTTTAAAGCTCATTTCTGGTTAATGATCTCACAAGTTACCGGTATTTTGAAATGGATGTGTGAATGCTCTTTTCTAGAAAAATTCCAGAACGTCCTTGCCTGGCTGAACAGCAATTTAAAAAATTTACCGGTAAAGTCGTTCCAGAAATGTTCTGTTTATTTCCTGGTATCTCTGTGTGAAAGGGGCAATTGACTTCCATTGGAAGAAATACTCTGGAAGCCAATGGTTACAGGTTTTTAAGCATTTTTCAAAACATCTTCTTTTGTGTTTAACAGAAAAAATAATTCAAGCAGGTTTGAGATAAGTGAATGATTAAACGACAGAATTTTCTTTTTTTTTTTGTGGACTCCCTTTAGGATATATTTTTCTGTGTACTCAAATCTTGTCTGCATTTCTTCTCTTCTCTAACTGGTTTCTGAATCTGTCGAATATTGGGTTTTAAAACTGGGGTCCAAAGACCTTCAAGGGGGGACTCCTGATGGTCAGTTTAAATATCTCGAAAAAAAAGTAGGAAAAATAAACATGAGGCCTTTATTTTAAATAACTATCATGAATACTTTAATAAAATGATACACAAATAAGAAGACAAATACACATTATCAAAGAATAACACTTTTTAAAAATGTGAATAAAATTATTGCTAATTACCTAATACTATTTCCCACAGGATAAATAAGGTCGTTTTTCATAAAGCAGAACAGATGCCTACTTTTTAAGATGGAGGTACCTCAGAGATGATGTGGTGAATGGCAGCATAAGAATAGAAAACAAGTGGTCTAATAAAACTTGTGTACTTCAACGATAGTTGGTTCTTTGAACATCTGAATTTATACTCGCTTAAGCAGAAGTGTTATCCATGAATAGGGGGCGGTAACGAGCCTCTTAGTGTTTAGATCGTTTCAGACGTGCAAACGAGTTAGAAAAACTAACCCGGATGGACCGCGAAATTTCAAACAAGAGCTCAGAGTGTTTGCTTAAATGTTTGTGATGAGGTAACGTCAATATGAGGTATTATATTTTCCTGTGTGTTTGTGAACTAAATAAGGTGAATACGGTAACGTTAGCCGCTTTGCCTTGTGTTTTGGTATTGTGCCCTTTCAGCTAACGTTAACCGAACAGCAAAACACTTTGATAGTTTATGAAAAGACCATCAATGTTTAGCTCGTACATTAAGTTATTTATATAACTTAACCGTGTTATTTGACAATATTTTATTCTTATTTTAAATGATATTTCTATAAGCATTATTATTATCATTTACAGTTAATTGTTTATGGAAAGACCACCAAAGTCGTACATTGTTACTATTACTCATATTATAATCGTGTTATTTAACTAATATTTCTACCTATTATTTATTATACTCTTATTATTATTTCTAACTGCTATTTCAGCCTGTACCATTAAGCATGAATCCGTCAGAGCGATTTTTCTCGAAGCTGCGAAAGCTCACCGTGTATCTGGAGACTGAAAGCAGTAGCCTCTTGCATACAAGCCAGAACCTCAAAGAGGACGAGGGTAAATATATAAATGATTACATAAAAACTGGTTCATGGTCATTCATAAAATCACAGGCTGTATTTGGTCTTGTTTAGAGGATGAAGAGACTGGAGCTCAAGCACTGTATCAGCTGCACTCTGAAGTCAGAGCACTAAAGGTATATCTACATTCAATCATGACGTTCTGTAATTTCAGTTTGCTTTAATGTTTGTACTACATATATCTTGCACTAAATCATTTGCAGAGGCAAGTTAGGGATCAGGTGGCTACCCATGATACAAGCAGTGCTGACCTGAGGAGCTTCATCAGAAGATGTTTGGTGCTGAAGCAGAGAACCACAGAAGACATTGACAGTCTGAAGAAACACTATGAGAAATATGGTTACAGGCCACGGATATCAAGACTGGGAAGTGCAGGTAAATGTTTAGCCAATCTGTTTGGATTTTTTATGTAGGGATTATTACAGTTTTAACCCAACAACGAGCAGTCTGTCAGATGAAGAAGAGCCTGAGTCAGAGATTCAAATAAATAAAGTTTACTGAAGATACTTTGCAGTTTTATCAGCAGAAGCCATTTTTAACACTCATCTAAGTTCGTCGGCTGCTCTGCTTACAATCACAAATCAACAACAATTATACACTTACATAACGCCATTATCTGCATCATACATATAGGTGATTGGTTAAAACACAGAAAGACTGACTAGATGTCACAGACATCCCCTAGAATGTTTAGAGCTGACCCCAGACCTGTAAACGGATCCACAATCAAATAGAACACATATCTAAAATACATTCTGTTCCTTAACCAAGGCTGAGAGTACTCTCAGCCGTCTTTATCAAAACTGGTTAAAAAACAGTATAATCTACAATCAGGCTGCTATATTCTCACTACAAAGTCACTTTAAACAATTAACACAAAATAATAATTTTACCAAAATTACTTTAGACACTATTTACGGAATACAAATAGGAAAACAGTTGTTTTCAATCATCAAGCCCCTCAATTCCCCTCAAGAGGTCTCTATGACCTCTGACCTGTTTTGCTGGCTCCTGAAAATAAAGTTACAAACGGAGAGGGGCAAATGCACTGAACATTCTTATATTAAGCAATGAGTTAACTTTATTCATTAGTCAAAATCATTTCTGGATTAAATACGGATTCAAATAATCATATTAATAAAGTAATGAGAAAAGGATAAACATCAATCCTTTCTGGGATGGATTTGAAGACAGACATGCGACCCCATTATACAGTTTTTATTAGAGATGCTGATGGATCACTTTACAAACAAAACTGTACTTTATATATTGAATGCATTTAAGTCGTTTAATTTTGTAATCGTTTTTGCATGAAGTGGATAGAATAAATAAATGACCTATTAAACTGAAACCTTTAAAAGTGTATACAGTATGTTGACCCGTTGAATGTTAGTCCATGGTATAATTTTTGTTCAGTTTTAATGAAATTTATCTGCTTGTATTTCTTATTTAAAATGTTTTATTTGTATTTTATACCACTAAATAATAATTGTAACTTATGCAGTAGTTATAATAAATGTATGACCTGAAGACCACTTTCTATACAATCCAGAAAACATAAACCTCATATTTCCTGAATGATACGGAGCACAAACTTAAATTTAGTCTCTTTTTAAAGAATATGTTATTTGCACGTTGTAGATAATACAGAATAAAAAAATAAATAAATAGATGAAATAAAGTGCAAATTTCATTTTTTTCAGGTCTATATATAACATTTTTAAATACAGTCAGTATTTTTTTTTCACACAGAAAAAATCAGCTGATCTTATTTAATTAAAGATTTTTTATAACATAAAAGTTCAAATCTAAAATTTGTTTATTCAGATATTAGTTTTTTATTATGTTTTTAATCAGGGGGAATATCCTATCAGAGCATACACTATATCATTTATCTTTAACTTTCTAGTTTGTTTTGAGTATAGGCGTTTCTACAATTTGTGTTCACTTCAGTGAAAACTTTCTATTGTAGAGGTGAATGGTACAAAAGAAGCAGAGGAGCGTG